CCCTTTTATATTGAGGTTTACTGTTAAAGGAAGGAATTTTCAAAGCAGAGAACTGTGATACAAATGATTTGGGGATAAATAAAATTATTGATAGTTTACACACGTTTGTAAAAACTAGTTAAAACCACATGTGCAACAGCTTCTCTTCCTCTCTGGGAATATTCATTGTTAGTATTCAACTCCAGTACTGTTACATTTGCTTAAATGTGAAATATCCAGTATGAGCTTTTTAAAAAGTACAGCAGATATACGTGGTCAACAGAAAAACAGAACACGGTGCCCATGGCACAATTACTTCATCGGTTTTCCTACAAGCATGAAAATGATTTGCATAACCACCATCCTAAGACAAACACACATCCTGTCACAGACTCGGAGGTTGGCATAAGGTCAGGTGCTTTCAGGTTCACAATGGAGCATTTTATTAATGCAAGGATCCCCATAAAAGAGGCAAAATCATTGTTAAATTCCCTAACGCTGGTCTTATTAAAGCAGACATTGCCACACCTCCGGTTAATTAAATGGGGTTTCCCAATGCACAAGATGTTGCATAAGAAACCAACGTGCCCATTATTTCTTTTGACTGACGCCATCATGCATGCCACAAACCAATGCGAGGCTCAGCCCTATAATATGGGAGAAGGGAGGACATGAAAAATAAACCTTAGAATACAATGACCATGTGATAAAGTGAGCATAATATTGTAGGCGTCCCAGCACTAACAAAGGCACGGGGTGGGGTGAACATGTGTTTGCTAGCAACTATGTGGCTTCACATACGGTAGTTCTAAATCTGCTTAAACTAACAACAAAGAAACAATCAAAAAGCTTCCAATTCCTTGTGGATCTGAGCTGAAGCCACATCACAAGGACTTCCATTTCCCTGTTCCAAGAGTTATCAAGGCAATAACACAGGAATTCTTAGGTTCAGCCAGTTTCAGCATCGACTTCACCACCAGTGAAACCAACTGCCATATAGCTTTATTGCTATTTTTGCCTGCAGTCATGCTAGAAGCCGCAAGGATACCTTGCACAACTTTCTTGAGCCATCAGATCCCACTTTATTTCAAAACCTAGTGACTGCAGCTGAAGATGAGCTCATGCCAACTTCTAATCATTCCAACGCAGCTTAAGTCATTCCAGAAAGAAAATAACCATTGTAAACTTTCTGAATTACTGCTATATTGCCACAGCATGATAAATATCCTTATATGGCCTGCAGTGCAGCTGGGAAATTTTCTTACCTGTGTGCAGACTAACTTGAACTGGACCAGGGCAGACAAAGTGCAAATGATAAATGTTTATTATGTTAACTCAGTATTTTCAACTACCTATATAAGGTAGGAATATTCTGCCTTTGTTCCTTTTACAAGGAAGATAGGGTGGTTCTCCTACTCTCCATTTTATCCTTATAGCAACAAGCTTTGAAGTAGGTCATGCCAAAGGGGAGTGAGTGGCCCAGTCACTGAGTGATTTCATGAGCTGAGTGGAAACTAGAACTCAGGATCTGGAGTCCCAGTTCAGCATTCTTATGCTCCACACGGCACTGGCTTTCTTTGCATTGATTTTCTTTACTGCCAGTGCCACTTCTTGCCACAGGATTCATGACAAGCTGAGATACAAAATCCGGGGCGGCATGGGATTTCTTGTCGAGGCACAATTCCTCACACTCTAGAAAGCAGGGGTTGGATACCCTGTGGCAGGAAGATGCGTTGCCTACAACTCCTGTCAATACTAGGCAACACGGCTTGGGGTTAGAGATGATGGGACCTGTGAGCCAACGTGTCTGAAGGACGACCAGTTGCGCGCCCAAGTCAGTCTTGCAGATGATCAGGGGAGAGTCAGTCATGCCCCTTGGTCCATTTGCCATCCACTCATCAGATCCCATTAACCTTCACCCTCAAGGGTCCAGGACAAGACAGGGCAGGACGGTCACTTGCCATTAGTGGCACACAGCTTCTGTAGAAGAGCATGAACAGAAGTGGCTCCTCTCGCCCTCCAAGGCTCAAAGCTTTGGAAGGAGGAAAAGCAAATCCTGTCCCACAGGTAGCACCCATGTAAGCATAACCTGTTCTCTCTCTCTCTCTCTCTCTCTCTCTCTCTCTCTCTCACACACACACACACACACACACACACACACACACACACACCACTGACTTGGCCAGCCAGCCAGTGGGATGCCAGAACTCATCCAGCTTGCTCTCTCTCCCTCTCAGGCTGAATACTCAGTCATCGCTTCTACAAAATTTGCAGGAGAGCTGGAGACCTTCACGCTCTTGTTATCCTTTTCTCTGGCGGGGCAGGGCAAAGGAGGACATAGTTAAACAGAACTGTATTTAAGAGAGAGAGTCCCACCTGCGGCAGCACGTCAGAGAGTCCCTCCGGAGCCCACCAGAAGGGTTCTCTCTGGACGGACGTGCCCATCCAGTCCTGAGTTTCTTCCGGGAAGAGCGGAGCCTCCCCAAGGCTGCTGTGTGGGAAGCTGGCCTGTGAGCGGCCCCCTCCCTCTCCTGCCTCTCTCCTGAGCTGGGCTTTCGCTCAGTTACCTAGAGGCAGGACTTGCCCACTCACGACATGGTTATCCGCAGTTCTAGGCCTGATTGGTGTAAAGCTTTTTCTGCGGGTTTAGCAAGGCTGCTTTCACAACACCGTTTACCAGGCGGCAACCAGCATTCTTGGCAGCTGTGGCTACGCACACGTTGCCCTTCTTGAGCAAACTGGAATGCCAAGGGTAAAAGCGGCGTCGAATCCTGACATTTTTGTCCTGCTGATAACAGCCCAACCTCCTTTTTCACAACCTGTTGTGAGACAGGTAGCAACTGTACTCAACTCTGCCAAAGCTTAATAGCCCACGGAAACATTTCCTGTATGCCATATTTACCTTAGTAACCCTTGTTAATGACAAAATTCTTGGCAGCGTATTGAGGACTTTGTCCTCGTCACTGAAACTCACAACCCCTCCTTTATATATTGTACTCTGGCAGTGCCGAGCTTATAAAAAGCAATAAATAAATCTGCAAGAACCAACATATCTCCATTTTCTAGTGCACCAGTCTAAAATAACAGCAATTATACTTTGAACCCATGGGACCTCACTTTCACACTCACGAGGAAATCTCTTTTCAGAGCATGTTTGCACAGTATACAATCTGTTTAGGGTAACTAGTCATGGCATCATGGCTTGTCATCCCAACCCAAACAAGCTCCTGCAGGGAGGGGGGCTATTTGGGGGTAACAAACCATCCTGACAATCCAGGGATGGTTCAGGCCATGACGGGTTGTCAGCCTGAGCAGCACATCCCTTGCATTTTCCCCCAGTCCTGAAATCGCAGCCAATTTCTGCTCACGTACTTCCCAGTCATTCAGTGTTAGCATAATTCTGTAGGTTTCCTTTTTAAAGAACTGTCAGGGAACCATAGTGACTACAGCAGGATGCATTCAAGAAAGGTGCCGCTGCTCTTTTTCCCCCTGTACCCGAACAATTGCCAGCTTAGCAATCGGATGCTGGCAAGCATCTAGCCAAAGGCAGCCTTGCTTCATCTACCTGCCACCTACTCTATTTCCCCACTCCCTCTGGCAGTGGGGCAGTTGCAGAAGCTGACCAGGCAGGGCTTCAACCGATCAGACAGTGCAGCGTGCAATTCTGCAAAAGCCCAGCAAAATCATCATGATCCTCTTCTGCTGCCAGTCACACATTTTGGTGGCACGGAAACATAAACCAAAAAATAAAGAGTGACAATTAGTAAGGCAGTTGCGGTGAGACCACAGTAAGTTCACTTTTGCAGTGAAGTTGCTCTGTAGCTTTCCCAGCAACCTGTGATGGAGTCACTCCGCTGTGTTCAGATGACAGGACAACCCATCAAGAGGAAGAACAACCCTAAAATAAGCCCTTAGTGCTCCAGGTGACTCCATTGGGATAGATACAGCTGGAATCCCACAGAGAGCTGTTGTATTTATGCATTCCAGGACTGCGTCTCACATACATCAAGAGTGCATGGAAGATCTCTCAGCCACATTCTGCATGGCAAGAGAAAAATTGCCCTCAGGAATAACCACCTTATTCTTAGTTATTAGAACCATTAGTAAACACATCTATCATTAGCCAACACAACAGATACAGTACCACAAATTCCCTCAAGTACCTCACGGCACAGCTTGCAATACCCTCACAGTAACACTGGAGTAGATCACAATCACAGTGCCCATTTCACAGATAGGCCCCTGGGGCTGGGCAGAAGTTGCTTCTCCGTGGGCATCTCATACAGGAACAGCTTGGTCAAAAGCTAGACCACAGAGGGGATGGTTCAAGCTCACAGGCCTTACCAATACACCGGACTTCCCTCCAGCTACTTTGGAATACAGCCATGCCACCAGCACCAAGCACAGCCTCTGTGAAACACCTTTCACGACACACCTGGAACGACACTCGCCATATGACCAGAGGGGACTGAGTGGACCCTCTGGATCCAGTTCCCCAGATTACCAGTTCACCAACTGGTACACCAGAAGGTGGATGCATGGAGCACCCCTCCACCCCACCCCACCCCACCCCACCCGAGAATACCCTCTTAGTAATTACAGGTTTAAAGGGATGGTTTCCATTTTTGCTTTTGCGTCTAAAAACTGTGGAACCTTCCATTCTGCATCTTTAAGCAATGTAGCCATTAATTAGTAAAGCAATTTAGTACATTTCGAATGTCAGCATATACCTAAATAAAAGGAAAATCACCAAGGATGGATGCTTCAGGTAAAACCTGCACAAATTAAATCAACTAATCTCAGCTACTTTTTACAGGCTTTTACATTTAAAAAATACGCATCAATATGATAATATATAAACTACTCTCTCCCTCTCCCTCTCCCTCTCCCTCTCCCTATATATATATACATACATACATACATACATACATATATATATATATATATATATATATATATATATGAGTAGTAACACCAAACATTATATCCTCAATTTAACTTACATAATACTGCACACTTACTTGACAGTAACTCGATTAGATAAATCCTGAAGGTCACCAGGATGAAAAAGCTGAGCTTCTTTTAATCCAAGATTTTCACAAGCTTTCAAAAACACATTGATATTATCCTGTGAAGAGAAGTGGAAAGTGATTGCTTAGTTAAGCAAAAGGAAGAAACTGCAAATCGGTAAGCCAAAGTTTCAAAGTCCTTTATAGAGAGAGAAAAGATCAGCCTCCTGGATCATAAATGCTAGTAATATTTCATATGAATCGCTGGGCTGAATACTGATCACGGTAACTGACAGACCAAGTTAAAGATTACCAGGTATAAAGCAAAAACGCTCAGCCAGCAAGCAGCAATCTACATTGGATGTCAGCTCTGCAAACAAACGCCCTCTTTCTAACTTTGCATGACAAGCCTCACCTCTCACATTTAAAAATAACTCCAGCTACTGACATTCACCCACCCAGAAATGGTTGGCAACGGAGGAATTAAGAGGAGGAACTTGGTTTCTATGATTACAGATTGATCATAGAGCACTGCACCTGGAATCTGGCTTTGGTTGCCGAGAAGGCTAATATACGTGTGTGTTACAGAGGGACAGAGAATGCAAATGAAAGGCAAGAGCAAATGGAGAGGACAAACCTGTAGTTTTCATTGGGTAAACTAAGAAACATAGGTGCGGTTTAGCTGACTACACCTGCTCTGGGCAAACTGCTTATTGAACTAGTGAGTGAATCCACGTACTGGCAACAGGACAGGAAAGATTTTGCAGCTGAACTTTTTGTTCAAAGGATATGCCTATCCAAAGGGTGTCCAGCTTGTAAGCATTACATTCCATCAAAGGGCATTTGGAAAACTGAAATTGCTGTGTCGAATGACAAGGCAGTAGTAATGAACACATGCAGTTAAGTATCCTAAAAGTAGCACATAATCATGTACAAAAGCTATTAGTAACACCAGATATTCAGGATCCTACTTAGTTGTAATAATCCTGATGTTATACTCCTTTCTCTCCACTAATGATAAAGTGCATGACTGCAGTAGACCTGGTTTTCCTTTCTATTTTTTGACAGCAGAAGAAAAAGAAGGCAAATAAATTGAGCCTTCATCCAGAGAAGTTAATCTGGAAGGTCAAAAGGCAGATCAGGGAACACGGATTCGGCTAGTTCTGGAAGGGCTACACTCTCTTAAAGAGTTGGGCTTGCATTTGGGTGCGTTCCAGGGTTCAGGCCCGATTCTGCCTTGTGGCCGTGGCCAGAGGCACATTTGAACAGCTGAGGTGACTGTACCAGCCACACCTGTTCCTAGAGACGTCTGATGCATGCCTCCCGTGCGGACTGCTGTACCATCTGGACTCCGGGCGGAGCTGCCTTGGAAAGCGATGCAAAACGGCAGCTGGCACAGAAGAGCCGGGACAGACAAGTGGCAGGGGACAGAAACCCCTTCACGGAAACAGTGCCATTGGCTGCCAGTATGTCTCCAGCATCGATTCAAAGTGCCACGTGTGACTTATACAGCTTGGTAATAGTCTAGCTGAAAGGCCACGTTCTCCCAAACAAGTTTGCCAAGAGGCACAACTAGTGGGGATGCAAAACTGGCCTGTCTTGGTGGGTGCTCCCACGTTTCGGAACTCCCTGCCGAAACAGTGCGCAACGCCTCTTCTTTTGTCCTCCTCCAAGCAGGAAAAGGCAGTTTTACTCGAGGAGGCCTGGATGTGCAAGCTGTTAGTTGCTCCAAAGCTGTGTTTAAAAGGTTGGATGCTATTTATTTTATAGATATTTTTGTCCTTTTATGTTATCTGTTTTTGTGCCATGTTTGCATTAATATTTAAACCTACATTTTATTATTGCTAGCAGTTCTTGTGCCATTTTCAACAGAAAGTTGTGATATAAATTAAATAAACTTAATTTGACACGTGGATCAATGGTTCTGGAGATAGTTTATTTATTTATTTTTCAATTTATATCCTGCCTTTTTCCTACAAAGGGCTCAAGGCAGCTTATATCCTCCTCCTCCATCTTATCCCCACAACAACAACCCTGTGAGGTAGGTTGGGCTGAGAGTCTCTGACTGGCCCAAAGTCACCCAGTTGGCTCCATGGCTGAGCGGGGACTAGAACCCGGATCGTCTGAGTCCCAATCTCACGCTCTTAACCACTACACCACACTTGGCTTACAATACTGAATACTGGTTCTCTTTTTTAAAAACAGTAACATCAATCCATTGCATAGATGGTTATTATCTTGTACCACACAAATGCATACAAAAACACATATCCTTCATGACATCTATTCCCACTCTATAATCTTAAAACCATTCCTCCATGGCATACCCATTTCCACATAGGTTTTTTTAATGAAGCAATCCGAAGCATCCTTTTGTTTTGTTTCGTTTTATCGCAAAGTCGTGCCCAACCCATCAGAATCACATGGGCAACATTCCTCCAGGCTCTCCTGTCCTCCACCATCCCTTGGAATCCACCCAAACTCACACCAACTGCTTCAGTGTCTTCATCCAGCCACCCCATCCTCTGCCGTCCCCTTCCCCTTTTGCTGTCCATCGTTCCCAGCATTAGGCTCTTCTCCAGTGAGTCAGGGCCATCTTAACAGCATTATGGGCCCCGGGCAAAGCAGTGTGCTGGGGCCCCTACGACAACTACAACTACTGTTAATTTTGGAAGTTTTCCAATTTTCCAAAGGTTAACATACACGGATTAGTTTGGGGCCCACAGGCAAGTGCCCATCAGGCCCATGCGTTAAGACAGTCCTGCAGTGAGTCCTTCCTTCTCACTAGATGGTCAAAGTATTTGAGTTTCATCTTCAGTATCTGGCCTTCCAAAGAGCAGTCAGGGTTGGTTTCCTTTAAGACTGACTGGTTTGATCTCTTTGCAGTGCAGGGGACTCTCGGGAGTCTTCTCCAGCATATGCATGCTTATTTTTTATTTATTTTATACTTGTATTCCACCTTTTTTTTCCTTTTAAGACATTCAAGGCAGCTTACAAAATTCTCCTCCTCCTCTCACACTTATCCCCACAACAACAACCCTGTGAGGTAGGCTGGGCTAAGAGTCTGCCGCTGGCCCAAAGCCACCCAGTGAGCTCTGTGGCTGAGCGGGGACTCGAACCTGGACCTCCCGAGCCCCAGTTCTGCGGCCCTGCGGGCTTAGCCACTACACCACAGCGGCTCCGCACCATTCTGTTCAGGCAGAATGGAGTCCGACACCTTACAGAATTTCCACAGTGGCCACAATGCAAAATTTCAGTCTTTTTAAGCATTCTTAGAATTGCTTTCTTAGACTGTCCAGGGCTATTACTTAGCTTACATATACTGCTTGAATAGGTCTGTGGTTGCCAAAAATTGCATTTTCTTGCCATTCTTAAGGCTAGAAAGGACTGAAGGGAAAAAAATAAAGATTCTTTTAGGGGGCAGATTTTTTCCACGACAGACTCATGCAATTTTAAAGATTAAAAAGATCATCAGATTATAGAAACACTTATTTGTTTTCATTTTATAGAGCCATGCACTGATTGCATAGATCCAATTTAGGACTGGATGCCTAAATCCCGCATTCTTGTCAATTCCATATGGCCAGTACCCTCCAAGTAGTTCGGCTGTTTGTTTAATCAAAGAAAGAAAGCAACCTCTCGGGGTGGGAGTCATCTTTCTCCTTATGTAACAAATTTGAAGCTTGCTATGCACGCCCCAACGCAATGACATCACATTATTCAGCCAAGGGCCAGCCACTTTTCATCAGCAGCAGAAATACAAGTTATGGCACATCTTTAACATACAACCGCACTGCGGAATGGGTGGGGGAGGCTGACTAATGAGAACATTTGGATTAAGGTGGAGGACCTGTCCATGGACAGAATTAACTGACAAGCTGGACCTCCTTCCACTTTTATCGAGAGGATTCCAGTGCCAGCTGATGTACTATGCCAATGGATGTACTGCACTCAAAACTAAAATTAGGTTTAGTAACTATTAATAATTAGCATGGACAGATGGACAGATACACACAGTCTACCCAGTACAAAGTTTTTAGTCGGCTGTACTGTACATGCACTTTTTCCAAAGTTTAACATACACGGATTAGTTTGGGGCCCCCCGAGGCTTCAGCGAATGGGGCAGCATAAAAATGTTTTAATAAATAATAAATAAATAAATATTCAGTGTTTATTTTGACCCCCTTAATTCGCACTAGATTTTTAACAATTCCCTTAATACTCCCAAGATTTCACCAAGAACACTATGTCAAAATAGTCTGGTCAGACCAAGAGCTTTATTTGTAGGTTCTAATAAATTAAGATGGTGTAATGTCATTGCACCAATATGCTAAAACACACCCATTCCAACGTTTAGTAGTTGCTATTTACATCACTGAGTGTCAAATAAAGGGTACCCAACCTTCTTAGGCAGGTCATATTGTTTCTTTTTATATTAAAAGGCACTTAAAAAAGCAAAAATGTTTCTTTCAGAGTTATCTCAGTTCCAATCAACTTTGTCATTGGATGTTTTTGTGCCAGTCATGTTTATATTCCTTTCTGAGTTATTTTATTTGTGTCCAGCCTTTCTATCAAAAATGGCACTCCGGGTGGTAGGCAGAAACAAAACAGATGTAAACAACAGTTCATTAAACTACAAATAATAAAATTCAAAAATGAATAATTATAAAAAAAAATAGTGAGAACAGCAAACAAGCCAAGAGAATAAAGGCCTTCTTAGATAAAGCGGTTTTTGCCTGCCAAGGGAAGAACAATGAAGGAAAAGAGATGACGCCTTTCAAATATTTTCCTCTCACAATTGACTGTACACCCATCCTTCACACCTTCTTATCCTTGGGCAAGGGCAGGATGGGATTGTAGGGGTCGAAACAAATATAACAAACCAAGATCAAGGGCAGAAATATGTCAGTGTTCATTTAAAATAATTGATATCCTGGTTTTCATCCCTAAGATGATCAGAGACGCACATGCTATAAGCTGTATAATATAACCAAGCTGTAACTAACAGCCACAACAATATTTAGGGAGCGTTAAAATGCAACTGAAGCAGCCGTACGGGGAAGCCCCAGAGGGGATTGCCACGGAAAGGGAATCAGCTTCAAGTGCTGGGTACATCTGC